TAAGCAAAAGCACAAAGCCAACTAAGCTCACTAGCAATGCTCAATAACAAGGCAACCAATGTCAAATTAGAGAGCACAAATACTTAGCTACACAAACTAAGCAATGTGACTAACAAGGTTACACAAACCAAATTTGCCACGCAAGAGAGCTACTTCTATGCTACACAAGCAAGAAGGTAACTAGTGAGCTACACAAGATAACTAATTACAAGAGGAACTACACAAGCACAATGTATATGAAATGTAAATACAAGCTTGTGTAATGAGGATGCAAACCAACAGGAATACAAGAATGACACGATGATTTTTCTTTCGAGGTTCACATGCTTGCCAACACGCTAGTCCCCGTTGTGTCGACCGCTCACTTGGTGGTTCGGTGGCTAATTGGCATCACCCGCCAAGCCCGCATGTTCGGGCACCGCAAGAACCTACCCCAAAAGTGAGGGTAGCTCAATGACATGCTTTACTAGAGTTGCTCTTCATGGCTCCCTCGGAGCGAGCATAATACCCCTCACAAAGCTCTTCTCCGGAGCCCCGCACAAGCTTCTTGCGGGCTTTGACGGAGACCACCACCAAGCCATCTAGAAGGTGGCAACCTCCAAGAGTAACAAGCACCACCGACTTGCAACTAGATCACCTAGTGCCACTCAATGCTACCTCACGATGCAATCGCACTAGAATCGCTCTCTCACACAATCGGATGATCACTATCAAGCATATGTGAGATCGAGGGCTCCCAAGCACTCTCAAGCATGGACACAAAGTCCCCGAGGTGCTCAGCCCAAGCCATGGCCGAGACCCCTTTCTATTTATAGCCCCACGGGAGACCCCTTCCCTTTTCTATTTATATATCGACCGGACGCAGGACCTCGGCGTCCGGCTAAAAAACGTGTAGCCGTGTTCAACCGAGCCACCCAATCTCAATGGGCGTTTTTTTAGGTTGACCTGAATGACGCAGTCCGATCATTTTGAGAGAGTCAAGCCTGCTTTCGACCGACGCGTCCGTCCACCATGACCGGACCATACCGCGTTCGATCCGGTTTTGTGAATGCGCTAACTCAAATCGCGTATGTCACCATACTCTGCGTTCAACAGACTTCAGAGCCACGGTCACAATCTCAATGGTTAAGTTGCGAGGCCGAGACCGACGCTCACTCGCTGCCACGACCGATGGACCTGGTCGTCGGTCATTTGCGTGACCAACGTCCGGTGCACTCTATGAAACCCAGTCTTTTCTATACATGGCGCCGGTGACACCGTCGGACTGTCCGCACTCTACGGGCGGACACTCCACCGGTGGAGTTTGAACCTTTCTCGCCTCGTTCTATTGCCGAGTTGATCCACATCAACTTCAACTTCATCTCCTTTGTAAATGTGCCAACACTATCAAGTGTACACCACCATATGTATGTGTGTTAGCATTTGCACAATCATTTTCCAAAGGATTAGCCACTCAACTTGTCACGCCACTCGATCCTATCGATGATGCAAAGTTAGATCACTCGAGTGGCACTAGATGACCGATATGCAAACAAGTTTGCCCCTCTTGATAGTACGGCCATCTATCTTAAACCCGGCCATCAACTTCTCTACACACCTATGACCGGTGAAATAAAATACCCTAGGTTATACCTTTGTCTTGCTCATTCCATTCCATCTCCTCCAATGTTGATGCAACACATGCACCAACCAATCACCAAATGATATGATCCACTTCATATCATCACGTGATCATATTGGTTCATCGATCTTGACTTCACTTGCTTTTCACCATTGCCTTCGTCCATCGGCGCCAAGTGTTGCTTAAGTTTCACCGCCACGCGGTCCATCGCTCCAAAGCCTCCAACTTGCCCTTCATGCTTGCAACCGGTCCATCAAGCCAAGTCTTGTCTTGATCTTCTCCACCTTGATCACATGACTCAATGTCATGTCTCATGTGCAATGAGCTCCTTCATCATCACATGTGTGAGCTTTGCAACATCTCCGAGCCATTTCCACCTCCATGGCATATGTTGCTCACACACATGTACCTATGGACTAATCACCTGTGTATCTCACATAAACACAATTAGTCCACCTAGGTTGTCACTCAATTACCAAAACCACACAAGGACTTTCACCAGATGTTGCTAGGGCTGAGTTATGTCGTTTGATTGCCATATTAGATCTTCCTTTAGCAATAGCTAACACTGATGCCTAGGACGATTACATTCAGCGTGCTCACAACCCTAGATATAAAAGAGTCTCTAGATTTACCACAGCTAGAGACCTGTCTAAGCTTTACAATGAAAAACTGCATCGCCTTAAAAATATTGTTATGCCTGGTGTGTCTTCTGTTTGTATGACATATGATATCTAGTGTGGTAATGCTAAGGAACATTACATCACTATTGTTGCTCACTGTATTACTGCTGATTGGAAACTTAAGAAATCTATGATAGGTTTTAAACTGATTGAAATGTCTCATAATGGTATTAACATTGCTGAATGTATTGCTGGTGTGCTTAGAGATTTTGGCCAGCTTGACAAAGTTTTCTCTGTTAGCCTTGGTAATGCATCTACTAATACAACTGCTATGCATACTTTGACACCTATGCTTGATGGTTACTTGGGTTTTGATGTTGATCCAATAGATCCTACTAAAAAGATATATCATGTTGTGCATCAGCGCTGTGCTTGCCATATAATTAATTTGATTGTTAAATCTGGTTTGAAAAGGCTTCAACCTTATACAGAGGTCTTTAGAACTACAATTAACTTTCTAAATTCATCTAACCAGCGCATTGCACAATTCAAAAACTACTGCAATGCTAAGGGTATGCGGCCTCATAAATTTGCTTTGGATATGGATGTTAGATGGAACTCAACCTATCTTATGCTAAAGCATCTTATGCAATATAGATCTGTGTTTTCTGTGTTCATAAATACTCACTGTGGCTATCCACTATTGAATGAACAACATTAGTACATTGCTGAAAAGATATTGGAGTTCCTTGAATTGTTCTATGATTCAACAGTTGTACTTTCTAGTGTTTAGAACCCCACTAGTCCTTTGATACTGCATCACATACTTGAGATTGCTGGCCATCTGCATGACTATGAACATGATAATAATCTTGCTGCTGTTGTTGTGCCAATGAAAGCTAAATTTCTCAAGTACTGGAAGTCTATACCACTGTTATATTTATTTGCATTTGTTCTGGACCCTAGGGCTAAGATGAGAGGTCTGCAAAATGTTCTTGATTTGCTTGCTCAATGTAACAATATGAGTTACATTGCCTATTTTGCTGAGGTTAAATCTGAGTTGCATAAACTGTATGACAAGTATGAATCTAAGTTTGGTGCAGCTAGGCCAGCTAGGACCACACATCCATCTGGACTGACAGGTAAGAGAAAGCAGGCATGGGGCAAAATTTTTGGAGGATCAGTTTCTTCTGGTCCTTCAAGTGCTAGTTCATCTACCACTATGGCTCCTGGTCTCTCTGAGCTCACTGTTTACCTTGACAGTGACAATGTTGTGGCCTATGATGATGACTTTGATATCCTCAATTGGTGGCATGAGCATAAACTAACATATACAGTTCTCTCTACCTTGGCTAAAGATATTATGTATGTTCCTGTCTCAACTACTTCTTCGGAGTCTTGCTTTAGTCTTACTGGCAGGATCATTGAGGAGCGGCGACGGTGATTGAGCTCAAAGATAGTGGAGATGTTGGTCTGCATCAAGGACTGGGAGTTAGGCCAAGACAAATGACATCATACTGTGGAGGACAAGGAGTTAGAAGACCACTTCAAGAACCTATGGCTTGATGAGGAAGCTGGTGCTGGTTCTAATGCTGGTTAAGTGTTCTGCTAAGTCTGAGTGAGAGTGTGTGAATCAGTGAGTGAGAGTGTTAGTCATTGAGACATTTGAGACTATGGTTTGTAATAACTTTGAACCTTTTAATTCTAAAATGAGCTGGCCATACTCTTTTTTCTTTTCTAGAGTTTCTCACGAGGTGTGAGTTTTACCTAGAAATATTTTAAATGAGGCGGCATTGCACGAACAGCTCAAAATTTGATCATCTTGTCTTTCATCTTTCTGTGATTTGTGAAGTATGTGATATTGTGATGTGTGAAGTAGTTGTGACTTGTGAAGTGATTTGTGAAGTATGATTGAATCTGGTATACTAGTGACTTGTTAGTTTGTTAACTAGACTTGTGATATGTGAAGTAAGTGTAACTTGTATAACTTGTGATTGTGACTTGTATAACTTTCAAAACTAAATTGAACCTGGGGTTTTTTAGACAACGGGCTATAGGCTGGCCCGGTGTTGTTTTGGGGCCCGTGCTCTTCGGACCGGCACGGCTCGAAAACGGACCACTTACCATGCTTGGGCCGTCAGGCAGGCACGGTGGACTAGGGCGGCACGACCCGGTGGCACGACGGGCCATACCGTGCCGTGCCCTACGGGCCATGCCGTGCCGGGTGACCCGAATGCTCATCTTTAGAAACCGTTCACACTAGGCCTCCTCTATACCTGCTAGTGGGCTACTTTTGTCGCTTGCTTGCGCATGCCACATTGGGCTGCTACTGCTACTGCCCAAATCACATGAGCCCATCCTGGTGTTCGCACTGGACTTGGACCTAAGACCATCAGGCCCTTGGAACACGAAAAGGGTGGTCAGATTAACGCGGCATCGACTTGGTCCGGTCAACGAACTACCGGTCGTGCAAGCTCCCCCGATTGATTGGCGTGTGTATTTTGGCATCCATGGGGCCATGATGGCCTGAGCAAGAAAACGGCCGGAACACTCTTACGACCTGGAGGACACACACATCCAACCTTTTCTCGTCCAATAATCTCATCTCCCTTCACATGATAGATGCTTCTGTCCTCCATCCAATCCGATCATCCTCTCCTGTGCAAATAGTGGATCAACTACTGATGTGATTATTAGCATCTGTAGGCGGGCGCCGGTGAGAGAGACTGAGAGTAGTCGAGAGGCCTATCGCAATCATGACAGAGATGGTCGGGTCCATCGTCGTCGGCGAGGTGGTGAACCGGACCTCCGACTTCCTGATCAGCAAGCACAGGGAGCGTCTGAGCACGCGAGAAGCCATCGAGCGGCTGGAGATGGCGCACATCAAGATGGAGGCCGCGCTGGAGCTGTCCGGCCGCTGGCAGCAGGCCACGGACGCGTCCCTGCTCCGCTGGCGCCGGAAGCTCCGGCGCGCCGCGGACGAGTGCGACGCCGCGCTGCACCGCTGGAAGCTGCGGGAGCTGCAGGAGGAGGACGCCCGGGAGAGACTGGCGCGGGCGCCGCTCCCGCGTCGCGTCGCGCACGCGGTCCTGTGCTTCCTCTCGGCGCTCCTCCTGCCGCTCCTCGCCCGCGCCGGCGGCGGCGGCGACGAGTGCTCCCGCGCCTGCGCCGCCGTCCAGAGGTTCGAGAGGCTGGCCAGCGGCGCCGCCGAGTTCCTCAGGTGCGTGAAGTTCGGCAGCGCGCCGCGGAGGTTGTGCTGCGGCGGCCAGTTCGGCTTCGGCCCCGTCGTTGGGAGGCTCGGTGAGCACGCGAGCTACGAGAGGCTGCAGGGAGCTCCTCAGCAGCACCGTTTCTTGGACGCTGGGCCCGCAAGTCCGGCGGAGCTTTGGGTGGACAGCAGCAAGCCCTGCCGTGCTTACCCGAAGCGAAGGGCGTCCGGGAAGAAACTGCTGCTGGTATGAAACATGGAGAGGCAACCGGGATCTGCTCCAGTTCCAGACTTGCAGTCAAGTCAGCAGGGCCACGTCACCGCAGCTCCGGCAGGAGGTTCCGTCTGGGCTCCGGAGAGCGCGCGGTCACTCTCACGTACGGTCACTCCATTTGACGTTCGTATATATCTGCGCTGAAGGGGACAATTTTTATTTTAGGGCCCAACTTGTATACCGTACCGTGGAAATTCATCGAGTCTATGGTAAAAATCGTCTTGTTTCGTGTTTTTTCACGGTTTCTGGATTGTTGGGAAGTCTAAAGTCCTGCTGGCTCTTTTGGTGTAGCCATCCAGGCAGTTCAAACGGATTCAGAGAATTATAGCATGCCCATATTTTCAGTGTTCCTTGAAAGAATTGTTTCTTTCATGTCGGTGTCAATACGAAACATTATGAACGGCCAAATGGGCAGGACCAACGGGTGCCACAGGGCACAGCCCAAGCAGGCCCGATGCCCAGTGCTCACCGTAGCTTGACCCTAGCGATCAGCCAGGCATGCTAACACTTGGACCGATATCCACACACATTAGAGCTTAAAACAACCCTCCACTCTCATTTGCTTTGAGAGAATACATTAAGTGGAATTAGAGATCATGTTTGCTTCAGGTTTGCTTGTAATTCTTGATGGTTGCCGCCATCTTGACGGCTTGGAGTAGCTGGACTCCGTTGAAATACTCAATTAAAGATTGTGATGTGCTCTGGAGGTGATTTGTGATAGGCTCTTGTGCTCATCCCTGTTGGAGTTTCCAAAGATCAAGTTTAGTGGAATATAGGTGTTCAGAGTGCCTTGTGATCGAGCAGGCTTAGAGACCATGCCCTCAAGTGAGGAGGCAATCATGGAGGGAAAGCGGTGATCCTATGACTCACCTAAATGTGGACGTAGGTGATGTTAGATTAAATTTAGATTTGCAAGCCGCGTGAGACAGACAAAATTAATGTGACAAAGTCGTGAATGCCATATATTCGATTCATCCGAAACATTAACATTGTTCACTACTTTATTACACATATCATCAAGCAAAGATAAACGGAACAAGCCTCTTATGGTCTTATCGTTCATCAAATGGACGTTAAGACGGCTTTCCTAAACGGAGAGTTAGAGGAGAAGATCTATATGGATCAGCCGGATGGGTTTGTAGCAAATGGTCAAGAAGGCAAGGTGTGTAAATTATTAAAGTCGTTATATGGCCTAAAATAAGCTCCTAAGCAGTGGCGTGAGAAGTTCGACAGAACTCTAACATCTGTTGGCTTTGTTGTGAATGAAGCTGACAAATGTGTGTTCTATCGGTATGGTGGGGGTGAAGGAGTTATTTTGTGCTTATATGTTGATGACATACTGATCTTTGGATCCAGCCTCAAAGTGATTAAGGAGGTGAAGGAATTTTTATCTAATAATTTTGAAATGAAAGATTTGGGAGAGGCTGATGTTATTATTAATATCAAGCTTCTGAGAGAAGGTGATGGTGGGGTAACTCTGTTACAATCCCACTATGTGGAAAATATGCTGAGTCGCTTTGAGTTTAGTGACTGTGAACCTGCTCCTACATCTTATGACCCTAGTGTGCTATTGAGGAAAAATCGAAGAATAGCAATGGGTCAATTGAGATATTCCCAGATCATTGGTTCGCTCATGTATCTTGCTAGTGCAACAAGGCCTAACATCTTATTTGCTGTGTGCAAGCTAAGCCAGTTTGTGTCAAACCTGGGAGATGATCACTGACGTGCTCTTGAGAGAGTGATGCGCTATCTAATAGGAACTATGAGCTATGGTATTCGCTATCTACGGACACCGAAGGTCTTTGGAAGGCTATTGTGATGTAAGCTGGATCTCGATCTTTGATGAGCTTTATGCCATAAGTGGATATGTGTTTTCGCTTTGAGGTGGTGTTTTTTTACGGAAGTCTTGCAAGCGAGACTATCTAAGGTTACAAACCCTAGAATTTATTAGGTTGTTGATATTATGGGCTTCATATATAATATTTAATAAATCAAATAAATGAAGTCTACAATGAAAGCATAACTCACAGACATTTTTGGTTGAAATTAGACATCGTTGGCTCTCACGTTCAGGGACACAAGAGTGCCACATCTTATGGCTTTGGCTTGGTTGTTGCCCACGCAGAGATCCACGGATTATTTCTGCGAGCAAGCGAAGTGAGCGAGCGTGATCACCGTGAAGGTTAATAGTTCTAAGGATAACATGAAGTCCTCCATGCCCACGCCCACGACTAAAATCTATCCTAAAATGCCCGATCAACAAGCTATGTTCACATGTGGCACTCCCATGTCCTTTTCTCGCTTTCAATTAAGATGGATAATTTCTAACCAAAAAGTCAATCAACGTTTCGCTTAAAAGAGAGATGGTATTAAACCATACAATGAAATTTAATGTTAGTAACATAGAGTTTTATTTGATTTATTAAATATTATATGGCCCAAGCCCATAATATATCCAACAATCTCCACCAAACTCTAGGGTTTATAATAAAGTAGTCTAGTAACCTTATTTCTTTGCATATATATACCGTGTTGTTTCGATGGAGACCCTAGTTAAACATCCATCAAGATCAATAGTTTCACTCACCACATCTTTTAAAACAATATATAAACCTTGAATTGACAGTCTATGACATTTGGGTGAGGTGAATGTCACAAAAGTCCTTAGAGTATGATACTAGGCTTCAAAAAGGCATGCCCCTCTATTTGAGTAGCATATAAGTCATACTCTAGTGCCTTTCATGAGTATTTAGAGATCAATAAAATCTCATTGTTCGTGACCAGTGAAACTATTCATCTAGGTGATTCCTCAAAAGATGTTCTCAGAGGACAACATCTTTGCTTTAGCAAGCCACTTGGCACACATTAAGGTAAAACCAATCAATTTCTAGGGGTAAAGGAAAGATATGCATTAGAAATGAGTCTTACTAAGGATCTTTCCTCATAATTTACTACTAGCTTGTTTCACCATCCTACTTCACAGAATCTCCGATCACATAGAATAGGTTATCACTATAGTAAATTTCATGTGGGTCTCAAACCCATCTCTCTCGATGCACTTTCTATCACATTGCGTGACAGACCCTTAGTGAATTGATCTGTCAGATTGTTAGACGTGTGAACATAGTCCAACGCTATTACTCCAGAGTTTCTTAATTTTTGATATATTTTAATAATCTCTTAACATGCCTTGTGGACTTCATGTTATCCTTAGAAGTGTTAACCATCGTAATCATAGTCTGGTTATCGCAGTTCATAGAAATAGCCGGTATGAGTTTTTCAACAATCGATAAATCCATAAGTAGATCACAAAGCCACTCGGCCTCAGAGCCAGCGGTGTCTAATGCTGTGAGTTCTGCGTCCATTGTAGACTTTGTTAAGATAGTCTGCTTGCAAGACTTCCAGAAAATAGCACCGCCTCCAAGCGAAAACACATATCCACTTGTGGCATAAAGCTCATCAGCATCAGAGATCCAGTTGGCATCACAATAGCATTCCAGCACTTTCGGGTGTCCGGTATAGCGAATACCATACCTCATAGTGCCTTTTAGATAGCGCATCACTCTCTCAAGAGCACGCCAGTGATCAACTCCCGGGTTTGACACAAATCGGTTTAGCTTGCACACAGCAAATCAGATGTTAGGCCTTTATCGATGCGGGACCCACGGGATACCCCGTAAGGAAAAGAGAAGATCTAGTCTAACTAGGTTTCTTTTCATGTAATCTTAGTAGTAGTATTATTCTGTAATCCTACTAGGAACTCTCATTGTAAATCGACTAGGACTCTGACCTCCTGACTATATAAAGGAGGGCGGGGTTCCTAGAGACAACAGCGGACAATCAATCCAACGCAAAGGCTAACGCCAACTGGACGTAGGGCTATTACTTGATCACGGTCGAGGGCCCGAACCAGGATAAATTGACTGTCTCTTGCGTTAACCGTCGAGTTCTGCATACGCCGAAGCCCGAACAAACTGCCCCGGGTACCCTCGTGGCAGGCTATCGGTGGTGAAACATCGACAGTTGGCGCGCTAGGTAGGGGCTTTCGGTGAATTTGCATCCGAGAGCTCGACGGACCTCGACAATATGATCTTCTCTACGGGATCAACCTTCATCTTTGGTTCATGGATCTGCGAGGCAGGCGATGATGGCAAGCTCCAAAGCTGTATCCTCAAAGATTCAGTTCACCATGAAGACCTTTCTATTTCGGCGAGTACGACAGATCAACTCGCCGGAAGATTCGTGCAACTCATGATGTCCGATCCAACTCGGATTTCACGGCTTTGCGCATCCGACTCAAACTCAGGCTCCGCATCCGAGATGGAGTCTTACCCGAGTTCTTTCGGGAAACCGAGTTCTTTTCCGGTGGGGCTCCAGAACGTGGCCTCGGCCTATCAAGAATACAACTCAGAGTACACTCAGAGTCCTTTCAAGAAGTCGGGTCTTTTTCCATTTGGACTCCACAACATGGCAAAATCTTATCAGGCACGGCCCGAAGGATCCCTCGATCTAGTGCTTAGAGTGCCACTGAAAGGAGCTCAGGAAGGTCTCGTACTAACTACAACATCTCAAGACTACATCGTCCACTGGCTAGGTTCTGTTCCTGAGGATAGCGGTACCCGACTAGTCGGTACAACAACAACAACAATTCTACCCTACCAAGAAGGAGATTCAACCTACGACCTTGAAGCTTATACTAAAGTTATCAGCAACTCCGACAGTGTGGAAACCAACGCTAATAACAGAACAATTCACGCACGAGAAGTACTCATGGTTCGCCATCCTCGATCACCATTGGTCCCCCCAGAAGCACCCGACATCAGGTCATCGGATGAATCTGAGTCCGACATATCACCCTTTGCCCAGGGGTACGATGGTGAGACCGAGAATCAGAAGCAAGCCAGAGAAAGAAGAAACAAATTGAAACAAGGATGCCAACACCATGCTAGGCAGTGCAAGGAAGCTTGGATCATATATGA